GCATAATGAGATGCGAATTTTCCGAAGCAGCAAGATAAGCGCTTAGAAGCTTTGCATTTGACAACAGGCCATGTGCGGAAGTGAACCTGGGGACCGAGAGGCAGAGGGCATGGGTGTTGCCCCATTATCAGAAGCTGCATCGGTATAATGTCGATTCGGTGGCCTTAGATTGCGGAAGATCCTCGACACCGTCAGGGATGATTTGAGACATATGGCTGCGGACTCATTCTCGGTGAAGGCGAATGTGGAGTTGAATCTCGCCGCCCGACTCGGTGATAGTCGGTGTGTGGAATTCCAATAAACGAGATGGTTGATTGATGTGATACCGCAATGCTCGCCTAGGAATACAGGATGATCTAGAAAAGCTCGGAAGCGATGCAACCTTATTCGAGCGCTATGAGTATGATGCTAGGGCATCGTTCTACTCTTCCGGGGCTTCAGAGGAACGTTGCTCTCTGTACGTGGAATGGATGATCGTAGACGTACCTGTGGATTATGGCGCACGAAATCGCTAACAAATTCCGATGAGAAGAGCACTCAGCCTCTTGCCAGCCTGTCACACAACTGTATCGATCTGACTCGGCGGCTAATGATGATATCAAGGAGTCAAGATCACGGATACGATTATTTAGAGTAGGGGAGAAGCTCGCTTCGCCGTCTTCTTTCTCAAGCTCTCCGGCTAAATTGCACGTTCGGAGAAGGATATCTTGCGCCTTTGCTAATAACGGCCAAGGCTGAAGTACGGTGAGGTAACTGTCATGATGACTAGCTAGGGGACGTACTTCAAGACAGCTGCGGAATTCCGGGTATGGTATGGTGATACGAAGGTCGTCAATAAGGATGATCGGACACTAATCCGAGAAGACAGAGACATTAACAGAGTAGGAGACAAGAGGCGAATGTGATCAGTCTATGTTACCTACCGAGCTGTTGGCGATCGAAGAACGGTAAACGAGAAACATCTACACCCAGCAGTCAGCATGCGCCAAGGCGAAACCAGGTCTAGAACGAGGAACCCACCGTCATCCACCAGGCTCGTCTTTGTGCATCCGAGCCCCCAGGTTCATCCTGGCTGGCAGTATGGAGTGACATATCCATAGCTGTTGTTAGAGCCTGGTTGGCTCGAGCACGCATCTTCGAGGTATTACCCCGTTGGCAATATTCTATACGCCGAGCATCACGAGGGCCAAGATTGGTTCCAGTTTTAGCGGGACGTTGGGATGCAGCTTGCTCCACTGGGACGGTGCGCCGGTAGTACTTGTGAGATGCACTGCTGGAGTCGGCGGTTCTCGATAATCGAACCAATTTTCGATACTGTCCAAGGCTGCAAGTGCATATAGTTCTGCATATGACCGCCGGGCAGCAACTGCCGCTTCAGACATGGAATGCGAACCCCCTGACGGGGGAATCAGTACGAGGACCGCGGATAGAGCTAGCGCAAAGGGAGAAGTCGGCCAGTATGGCAAAAGTGCTTGGTCTGCTTGGGCTGTTTGCAGTGGAACCTCAACTGAACGGTCCTCATACTGAGGAACCGCCGGTGCAGGAAGCAGCGGAAAGTAGGTATGGATGAAGATGTCGTATGCATTGATCCTGAAAAATTAGAGGAATCTTATCAGTCATGGACGGGCAATAGAGGTTGGGCGGACAATTAAAGGTAACTTAGCAGTCCCTAACATACAGATCACCCTCACATCCATATGCCCTTAGGGTGAGTGTTCCACCCCCGGGGTGATGATCATAATCTTCCGAGAGTGAGGCATTGCCACTTGACAATTCTCTGACATCCTGGATACTGCTGAGTGGATATACGAGGCCAACAAGGCAAGCTGCGTTATCATTGCTACTGTCCCTTTCACCCGGCAAAGATCCTAGAAGATAGTCAGAATGTCATATCTCGCAATCACCTTGCTATAGCAGTAATGTAGATACTATATCGATACCTTGAGTCTCGGGTGAGCCGGAGGGCAAGGATATGGGCGGCGCGTTCCTTGCAGAATTGGCACGCTTCTTTGCATTCTCCGCACGGATGCCTCTGCGGGCCCCGCCTCGCCCGCTCGGGCGATACTGGCACTCTCGGTGATTGTTATAGCACTGTGGTTCTCTAAGTCTGTAGACAGGTGAATGACACGCGGAGTGATTCCGCTTACATTGGCGCAAGGACTCCGTCCGTCACAACGAGTCTTGATGGTACGGCTGTTCAACTCATCAGCAAGAATTGATTTATTTGTACAGAAAGCAGAGAAAAAAGAAAAAGAGAAGAGAAAGGCTCAAATAGTCAAATCGGTGGCGGCCAACCCACCATGGCAAACAGGCCAGTTTCACAGGTGTCTTTATCGGAAGCATTGATATGACCCACCCAGTCGCCGGTAGTGAGCCTATCAGGATACGTAGAAGTCAAATTAGAGTGATTAATATTTCTTACGATAGAAGAGAAAGATCGAAATTCAAACGCCTGAAACATTCGTTTTAGACTAGTGGTCTATCACCACCGTTAATATGGATGGGGTTAGTAATTATAGTCGGCGTTTGATTTGAGTTGTGGATCCAAGGACTTGGTTAGGGCTGCGCCTAGTTTGTGATCACCAACTAATCATATCTTATGTACCAATCGGCCTCATTCAAACACCGAACCATGGATCCTGATGTCAGGACCTACTTTAATAAGGACATCTACATGCACGCTAAAAACGTAGTAAAAGTGGTATGATCATATGTTGTCTAGTCTAGGATTGCTATAAAGGCTTCCCAAGGATAAGATCACGACAGACTGCAATTCTTCTTCTTTATCCCTTCCCTCTTTTAGTTTTTTCTGAAAGTTTGCATTCATTCTTCACGCCTTAAAACCATTATGACAGCCGCTTCTCTTGAACAGACTCCCGCCGTACCGGCAAACGCTGCATATTATGACCTCGGGGCCTTTGGGCATACTATCACCACGACAAGTTTAGATGCACAAACGTGGTTCAACCGCGGTTTAACCTGGTGCTATGCCTTCAACCACATTGAAGGCGCCTACTGTTTTGAACAGGCAATTGCCCATGATTCTTCTTGCACAATGGCATACTGGGGCCTGGCCTACGCGCTGGGGCCCAATTACAATAAAGGCTGGGATCGCTTTGACCCTCAAGACCTGGCTAATTGCTTGAAACGTGCCTTTGCCGCATCGCAACGGGCAGTAGAATGTTCAGTAAACGCCGCGCCCTGGGAGAAGGAACTCGCGGAAAGCATTCAGTTGCGCTATCCGAGCGACACCCCATTAGCCGACTATTCGGCTCCAAGTAAAGCATACGCTACCGCCATGAAGTCTGTGTATGAGAAGTTCGGTGATGATTTGGATATCGCAGTGCTATATGCCGACGCCCTGATGAATTTGACTCCCTGGGCCCTGTGGGATCTGTTTACTGGTCGACCTGTCAAAGGCGCCCCGACGGTTGATGTGCAGCAAGTGCTGGAACGGGCGCTGGAACAGGATGGCGCTTATCGACATCCTGGCCTCCTACATCTCTACATTCACTACGTTGAGATGTCTCCCAACCCCGAGCTGGGAATGACCGCCGGTGATCATCTGCGCGACTTGATTCCGGATGCTGGTCACTTGCACCACATGCCTACCCATCTAGATATTTTGGTCGGTGACTGGCGTCGCTCTATTGCGTCAAACCACAACTCGACACTCGCGGATGATAAATATGTGCGCCGCTCAGGCGCTTTCAATTTCTACTCTTTTTACCGCCTCCATGATTATCATTCGTTGATCTACGCGGCCATGTTTGCCGGTAAACTCAAGACTGCCATGAATGCAGTCGATCGCATGGAGGCGTCTGTTCCAGAGGAGCTACTTCGCCTGAAATCCCCTCCCATGGCCGACTGGCTCGAGAATTTCATGTCCGTGCGCGTTCACGTTATGGTGCGCTTTGGTATGTGGGAGGATATCATTCAGATGGAATTTCCCCAAGACCAAGAATTATATACAGTTAAGACTGCCATGGTCCACTACGCTAAGGGAGTCGCATTGGCGGCGACGGGCCGGGTCAGCGAGGCAGAGCAGGAGCGGGGCTTATTCAAGAAGGCATGGACACGAGTCCCAGAGACTCGCCGGGCGTATAATAGCAAGTGCGTTGACATCATAGCTGTCGCGTCAGCCATGCTTGATGGAGAAATTGAATACCGTCGTGGAGACTATGAACAGGCGTTTGACAGTCTTCGCAGATCCATTGATCTGGATGACAAGCTCCCCTACAGTGAGCCCTGGTCCTGGATGCAGCCCACCCGGCATGCCTATGCTGCGCTTATGCTGGAACAAGGCCATGTCGAGAAGGCTGCTGGTGTATATCGGGCTGATCTTGGGCTGGACAGTTCTCTCATCCGCCCTCGGCGTCATCCGAACAATGTCTGGGCCCTGCAAGGCTACCACGAGTGCTTGATACGGCTGGGGAAGACGGCTGATGCGGCGATGATTGAACCTACCCTGAAGCTGGCTTTAGCCACGGCAGACATTACTATCAAGTCATCTTGCTTCTGCCGGCTAGATACGTCGCAAGCACCAGAAGTCATCAAGGGTAGTGGTGCCAAAGGTGGTTGTCATTAGGATGATTGACTATTCAGTTTTTCTTTGAATGAATACGAATAGCATATAGACAATTCAGATGGCTTCTGGGAGAGGGAAGAGAGAAGCCTCCAAACCTCCAAAAATCATTTCTTTTTCTCAAAACTAGCGGGCACTCCACTCACATTGAATGAATCCATGTTACACACGAGATTCGTATACTCCTAGGGTCGTAGAGAATAAATCCTGCAAGCCACCGCCCGTCTTCGCTACTATGTGACAGGCATCAGCAACTGTGAAACCAATTCACATCAAAGCTATACCCCTTCGAGGGTGTTTGTGTAGCGTATTGAGGTGTAGCGTATTGAGGTGTAGTGTTTTTGAAGCCTATATATATGTATGATTGAAGCGGAGGAGTTTCTGAAAAGAAAACAAAAAGGTAAATTTGAGTTAGCGATCCACATGGGGCTCGAACCCACAACCTTCGGATGAATTCCTAACTAGGAATCCGACACTCTACCATTGAGCCAATGGACCGGAAGTTAGATCTTGGTTCAACCTATTGCCTACATTAAGCAAAAAGTTGTCAAAGTATGACAGCCAATAGGCCTTATGACGGGCCATCTACAGTGTAACATGGCTGGAACAAAGATGAACAAAGAGGATCCATGTTGAACATATTGTATACTCGATACGATTATGCTCAATAGATTCAACCTACCTCAGGCGTATACCAGGAATATTCAAAGGACATGTCACACAGATCCATCTAGAATGTTGAAGATGTTTACTATCTAACTATATATATTTTTCTTTAACATGTCTCATTTGCAGAGAGAATTACTACTAATTAATCTAGTCTATTCTAGATCAATGCATCTACTGCTATTGCTTGTAGTTAGTTATAGTTAGCTTCCACAAATAAATATTCATAACTCCTGCATTCTTATTTTAAGAAAGATTACCATAAGAATTAAGTACAGTGTTGGCTGCATTTTCGATGAGTACAATACATTTATCTGGTTATTCTACTTCGCCAGGTTCGCGTCTCTAAGCCCAAGCTGGGTTTCAGGCTTGTCTGGGACACCCAGAAATATACTCTCAAAAAGATCACGAGACTCAGATCCAAACCAGTCAAGCGAGGATCATATTCTTTGTGGGCCACTTGCAGAAGCCTCTATATGTGATGTATTTGAAAGTGCTAGCCGGCACTCTCTGACGCTTGGAAAATTTACATATCTCATAGATGTTGTGAACAACACAGGGAATATCCCCTCTCGACTACTCGTGCGTTGTCCGGCGCTCCCAAGCAAAGTATGGTCTAATGCTAGATCCGTAACTCAAGCGGGGTAGTTATGCGAAGCGATTCGCTTTGCGAGGGCTACGATTAATTTGAAGCACATCCGTCCATATTTCTTCGAGTCAAGCTCCAAGGGAAAGGCTAAGTGGACCGCCCATGACATCAGAAAGCCTAGATCCCGGTACCAAGCTTTGGCTAGCTCGCAAAGGTATTAGTTCAGACGATGATATTAACAGAGTGCAGGAAATTGCTGGGACCCTGACCCGAGGTCTCTATTGGCCTTGTATGTTCTTCCAAGAGCCGGAGTGATAGCATCACATAGGCAGAGGAGCTAGGGAGACAGAAAGGGTCAGGGTACGCGAACCAACCCACCGTGAGACTTATAGAGAGATCAGCAAAATAGTACATCAAACACTCAAGAAGCGCGAGGACGATTTCAACCAGAAGTTACAAAGCATATAGTCAGCACATGCAGCCGCGGATGGTTCTTCCAGTTTCATGAGTTCTAGTTTACTTGCCCGATTAGACTATGAGGAACCTGAATTTATAAGGGAAATTGGGCCATTGTTGGTTCGGCAGCAGACAGCCCCTTCAGCAACAGGAGGAGTACCACGGGAATGCAGGATTGAGACTGAACTTGAGGCTCGTCCTAAGGATCTTTCTTCCCTGGTTGATGATGCAGCCGTTTCGGGTTTTATGAATACACCAGAAGCCCAACAAGCTGGTCTAAGGTTTGACGTCGAGTATGATTCATCGCCATCCAAGAAGCGCAGGGCCCATGGGGCACAGGACAGCTATCTCTAGAGAGGAGTATCAAAGGTGGAGCAATCTTTGGACCAAGTAAATACATAAATGGTCTCAATGAACAGTTCACGCAGGAGAGAGCTATCCATGATCAATTGTCCTGCCGTGTTCCCAAAGCACTTTGATGTCGGGGACGGTACCATCCATGCCCAAACCAAAGCCAAACCCCTGGAGAGACACATCCAAGTCGGTATGCGCGTTCAACGATGGATAATGATCCTGAAATTTATCTTGCTTTCAGAGTTCGACTTAGTGGCAAAGGGCGGCAATAAAGCCTCGTACTTTTGGAATGGACTACACCCTCATTACTGACAAGGTCTGATCTGTTGATGTAAGGTATGAGCCGTCGCCATGAGGTTCTTTTTGGGATCATCATATCCCTGAGTTCAAAAAGCAGTAACTGGGAGCGCCACTGCCAGCATTGTTCGGCTTTTGTTATCGTGCCCCCACTCACCCAACCCTTTCGACCACCAGTTCTATGCTTTCCAGCCTTGACAAGAGTTCCCCGAATGTCGACGCCACTAGAATATGGCGAGAGGATTCCCTGGAATTTAGAAGGGGGCGTGCAATTGTGCCCGTGACAGATCTAGAGAGGAGCAGTTCAAGTTGATAGTGGGTTCCGCATTGTGCATCGTGTGGAGGTGTACGGCGTAGTAGTTTGACTCTTCTCTGAATTTCTGCTAGAAGGGCGTTATTTGTCTGTGACAATCTCTTTGTCTTCCGTTTCTCGCTGTGTTATGTCGTGATGCGTCATTGGTGCAGTTTTTCTTTTCTTTTAAGGTATGCATATTCCCAGAATTTGACAATCTTTTCTCCTTTCTCTCTTTTTTGAAAAGGTAAAAATAAAAAAGAAAAGAAAAAGTATCGCTACTGTATTCCACTGCTTTCTCTAGCGGTTTAGGTAACAAAAACGAGGTTGTTTTAATCGACTACCATGCGTGCTACTCTATCTTACACAGTTGTCACTATCCTCCTATTGAAGGATTATCAAACAGGCTAAATACCTCTATAGTCATTATTCTATTCCTACTAAATCTTTTGGCTCACCGACTTGCTCACCCTCGGAGTTAACGGCGCTCACATATGAAGCAGCAACTTGTGCAGACCTCAACTACTGGTTGACCGCGTTCAACGGCTGAGTATCTCGTCTCAAGACGATGATGATTCACAGAGCGTGCTCAGATCTGCCGAAAAGAGGGAGTGCACATCGAGATCTGAGCACCACACACCAGAACAGAGGGGGGAGGAAAAAAAGAAAATCAAGTAAAAAAAAAAGAACAAAACATAAGAGCAAAGAAGAGAAGGGAGGACTACGTGTCTCGACTGTACAATAAATTGCAGTGGATATCAAACCCCTGTTCCTCCGTGTGATCTGTCACTTCTTCACCGCCGTCTGACTCTTGTCAGCTTTTTTGTTCCCCCAAACAAGAACACAAACCACACCTGGTAGTACGGACATACTACATAGTCCAACCCCTTCTCTGCCCTTCTATTCTTTGTCTCATTTGACCTCAACGAAGTAGTTGCATGGAGAACATACTCTTTAATGTGTAATTCGGTTCGACTTTCGGGTCCAACAAAAGCGTGTGGCATGACTCGTGTTGCTGCAGTATCCAAGCCCTCGGTAGCACTAGCCAAAGGGCCGGTGATCAATCAGCTGGGTCTCTTTCAGCCATGAAAAAGCAATGAACCCCTGGAGCCAATGATGACCCGTCTCCACATCCGGTTTTTGGGAAAGTGAAACCCATGTCCATGATGATCAGCGTCTTGCCATCTGTGACCGTTTTCATTCCAAGCTGAAAATCCCCAATTGGGTGTATGGTACCGGGGATCTGGTCGTGTGTCACCCCCCCGCTGCAAGAAGGGCCTTCGGATACATCCAGATTCTCAGAATAGCATAGTCCAGACCTATTTGGAACGCTTGTAGTCTTGGAAGGCGTACCTCCGCTCACGCCAATCTCCGAAGGTCCCAGGTCTACCAGGTAGGACAAGGCTAGATCTTAGCACTTAGCTCTAACCTTTCGACGGGTTCTGCTGGTAATAATGAACGGATACTCCGTATTGTTCCAACCTTGCAACACAGACTGGGGGCCTCATGCGGAGGTGGGCCTGGCACGCCCCCCTCAATGAAAACTCATTAAAACTATACAGTTGCTTTTTATGATTCCCGACAGTCGGGATTCGGCAATCCTTGGCGCCCCAAGGAGTTTTAAAGTAATAAAAGAAGACCAAGAAAGAAATACCACCTGAAGGTTAGTGGCATGCTACTGGCCCCTTTAAAGAGTGTCTTGTGCATCTACTTTATGCGGGTTTCTATTGAATACTAAACACACCTAACCTCCTCGAACAGCATCCGCGGATTCCAATTACCAGCATCTGGGAATTCTTTTTGACACTGAGATACGTTACCTTTGCATATTTTAATCCTACCGACATTCAGATTGCGATTCGGAGTAGCTGAGATTCCAAGGCTTTGGAAGACGATCGCGGCATGCTGCCAAGTTGGAGTTCATGTAGCCTTCTGATACAAATACTCGCCTGAGAAGGAATTATCCCTATGGATTTCAATATCTAGCTATTTTACAGCACATAACATCGGTTGATTCGCAGCGTATTAATCCCTGAGTTGTGTTTCTATCAGACTTGTGCTGTCTTACTTCAAACTTTCTTGCATGGATTGCACTGTGCTTTGCTGGATCCAACACCTGAGATGACCATTAGAAATTACCCAACCCTGCATATTCAGCTATACAGCTTAGGCAATACCTTGATTGGTAGACTAGTAAGTTGTATTCTCTCTTCTTCTTTTGAGTAAGAGTAAACATGCGTCGGTGTGCCGCCCCGCCCGATTGTTCTTTGTTTCTCTCATTACTTGGTGTTATCCTGCCCTTACTTTTAGTCTTTTGAAGCACTATACTCATTAGTTCCATGTATATCCAATGTCCCTCAATCTATCTTTCCTTTTGTCTTCTTGGTCCTATACCGTTCCTTCTGTTCTCAATTTGCAAGACCACTCTCTCACAAACAGTGAGACTTTTATCCCTTTACCACACACCGCGGTAGGACACTGGAATCCTGAGCAAACTCAAGAACCTGACAGATCATGCTCGACTTTCCCAGGGGCCCTGTAGTCGGAATTTTATTCTTACCTTTTCTGTTAGCCCCAGCGCGACCTTCTGAGCAAACTCTTCGTTACAGCACGTTTTAGTTTTGGTCTTGATTATTTTTTCCCTTCTTATTTCGACTGTTTCTTTTGCTTTTGCTCCTCGAAGCAGCATTTCTGGGCAAGACATAGTTGATTGACTACTACTTTGAAGCCTAGAAAAGAACAAGCCTTCAGAACATAACCAGGTCTCCGGATTTTGCCATCCGAAACCAGCATGTCTGATAGAATCAGCTTTCTACCTCTGGAGATAGTCCTCCAGATACTATC